ACAAAGGGTTGCTTGCTGTGACTGGGTCTCCGCTCACACGTGCCACAACTCGCTACGATGGGTTCCATGCAGAGGACAGCGAAAGCAACAGGACTGCTTACTATCGCTACTTCGTCGCCATGGCAAGACTCACATACCAGATGTGGCGATTGAAGGACTGTGAAGCGCTGCGGAAGCAAGCTCGCCTTCAACCTGTCATGACTCCGAAAGAGGAGAAAGCCCGTGCGGAAGCCGAGGCCCGAGAGAGATATCGTGCGTCCTACGTGTTTCTCGAGCCGCATGACCGATTCCCTCAGAACAAGATCATGATCGAACCCAACCTTTGCAAGACATGCGTGTACCCCGACGGTCACGAGGTGGCGCTGTTGGACGAAATTACTGGCGAGCACTTGAAGGCCACTCCGGAGGAACTGGAGCGGGCTGGAATCATTGTGCCCCAGGGAACTGGTGAGCCAACTGTTGACATCACCTCATCACCTGAAAGGGACTCAAGCGTCAATAACCCCGTGGAGGATGACTTCGTTCCGGACTATGATCCTGATGACGAACCTCATCCAACTCAGAAGACAACACTTCTTGCGGAGCCAAATGATTCATGCCCTGACGAGAAGCTCATGAGCGTGAACGCTGGCAAGAAGGGCGCTTGGGAACACGTGTCTACAGTAGAGATTGAAGAGTCAGACCTTCGTGTCAGATCGGACATCGACCAACCTCCTGAGACTGTCGATGAGATCATTGAGATCGTGGGCGATCACTACAAGGCTGCCCTTGCCGAAGGTTACCAGGACCCGCAGGATGACGCTCTTGAATCCGATGATGAAGAGATTGTTTTCAATCAGCAAATCGTCGGAGGTTCAAGCGCGCTGGAAAGCGTTGCCGATAAGATGAAGTTCAACAAGATCTATGCAGCCCAATACCTCGAAGGGGGTGCATTGCATCTTTCGAGGAACCCGCATGGAGCAATCTCCATGTCGAGCAACGCCCTGCGCCATTACACCGAGGCGGTCACAGGCAGAACTCTCCCTTTGCACTTCATCGACGATGACGGAGACGATGATGAACTCCCGCCACCGCGGCCACCGGCGGAACCTTGCCCGCACAAACGAGACAAGGACGGAGTTCACCGCCCGGTCGCAGAGGAACTGCCTGCCCTCAAAAGAAAGACTGCCGCTGATCTCGGTGCAGCTCCTAAGGCGAAGGCAGCGCCAGACAGCCTCAAGAAGCTCCAAACTGGTGACAAAGTCGTGAATGTCGACATGTCCAGCTCGGCGGAAGCCGGAGCCAAGAAGGGCTCATCAGAGGTGGTCGACGTTGAAATGGAAGAAACGGCAGGGACATCATCATCTTCTGCCATTCCTCCCAAGGCGAAACACATGCCAAAGCCATCATCCATGCCCAAAGCCGCAGCATCGAGTTCTGCGGCCCCCGGAAGGGATGCGCCCAAATTGGTTCCAGCAGGAGGAACTCCGATCCGTACGACAATGCCGGCAAACCAAGTGCCTGGTGCCGCGGTGATCGGATGGTATGACCAGGAGCAGTTCTTTGTTTCAAAGCGTGTCTCCGGCCTGCTGCGAGGGCATAACCATGCCAATCGACGAGATCGCATTCCGCTTCCGGACTTCCAAGATGGAGCATGGATGGATTTTGCATCGGTGTTCTCATTCATCAAGAGGAGGTACTCCCGCTCCCTCACTGTGTCGGACTTGATTGACATCGTGACGTCAAACCATAGGTTTATGCTCGATGTGCAGCTTGCCCGCGAGGGGGAACTCTTCGCTGAGAAGTATCTCTTCCTGCCGGTGCGAATCAAGGCAATCCAATCTCACAACGACTGGATTCTGGAGAACATCAACATGGCGTGGCCCGAGGTCGACAGAATCATCTGTCTTGATCCGTCGTTCACGATCGAACGACTGCTGCGAAGGGAGCATCCTACGCTTCCAGTACGACTTGACTTGCACATCAAGGATATTCACCCCAAGATCTTGTACCACTACACTCATATCGCCTTCTTGGATGATGTGATCCGATGTGGCATTTGTCCGGGGGGACTCAGGACTAGCAAGGCTCATTCGTACTTCTCGGCTTTCGATCCGTGGAGCATTCAGAAGACGAGTCAAGCAGGAATGGCCTCGACCAGACCAGTTGCGGTCGCAGTTGATGTTGAGATGGCGGTGTCATATGGAATCAGGTTCGCCGTCACTCAGAGCCAAGCCGTCGTGACTACTGATTGGGTTCCGAACCAGTTCCTCATCTATGCGTATGATGTGTCAGCAAAGTGCTTCATCTATGCGAACCACGATTATGCAAAAGAGAGAGCCTCATTCAATCAGGATCTCCGAGACATTGTCGTGCGTCGCCGGGAACGGCTTGACCGTGGTGATGAGGCAGATGACAACGCAAGACGGCAGTCATTGCTGGCAAGGTCTAGGTGGGACCTGTTCGGAAAGTATGAGAAATGGGTGCATGGGGCCTGGGTGGAAAATGCCTTCATCCTCGAATCATACAACCGTGAATTCTGCAAGGATCAGCTCGAGCATGCAGATGCCAATATCGGAACGTACTCAACTCCGTATATGGCGATTGCATGGCAGCCGGAAGGCGATGCCCCCAACAACTCGGCATGGCCTCTCTCGCTGGGATCAGTTGATTGGGCGCATTGGACCCCTGAGATGGAGATGCGCTATGATCCTCGGGGAAACGAAAAGTTCTTCACTTCACGGTGGATCACCGTTCGCCAACACGACGTTGAGCCACAGCATTGCATGGACTGCGGATCCGATTCCCCATTCGGATGTTTGTCGTGCTTGAACTGTGGACGACTAGCTCGTGTTGCAACGGATATGAGGAAGGCATCGCTGCTTGTCCGTCTTGAAAACTTGGCCGCAAGTTTCGGTTTCGACTTGTCATTGGACATGTTCCCGGATGACGATATTCGTGCCCGGGGGGACCGTGGGCTGAGGAATCCTGCAGGTGGTAGGATCAGGACTGGACAATCTGCCATTGCGACAATCCGAGCACACGCCAAGTCGCACATGGACAAAGCGTCCAAATTGGAATTTGGCTCGCTCACAGAGCGGTTGTGCTTGGACCCGTTCTACGCGTTCAACTGCGCGGCGCAGGACATGTCCCCTGACTGTTTGAAGTTTTTGCAACGACTCAGTTCAGCGGTATTGCCCATTCCGACGCGCACCGCCCAACAAATCCAAGAAGGGGTAGGCGTCAATGTGAAAGCGAAGATCTTGATGATTCCAGACACATCTCAGCGAGAAGTCGATGTGTCGAACGAGGTCTTTGTCTTCTGGAAGAACAAGATCCTACGCCCTGGTGTCTTTGTCGGACTGTACGCAATGGAACACCACCGCTTCGAAGTACTGGGGTTCTCTGGTTCATTCCTCTCGGAAAAAAAGGACGTTGAGAAGCTGAAAACGGAGTTTGTTGGATGGCTGTCATCCGACCTCCAGAGCATCCCGTCCTATGAGAACCTGGTGCGAGCAGACCCAAGGAACATCCATGTTCCGGAAAGAGAGGGTGTCGATCGAGTAAAAGGCAAAGGTAAGGGCACCTGGCGTCACGGAGGTCGACAAACCCGTGAGAATGCACCTTACCCAAGGAATCGATGGGCCCGTGACTGGAGGGACCTCGATGATGACGTTGGTACCATCCCAGGTTGGCACTATGCAGATTGGACCTGGTACCAAGATAACTACGGAGCGGACTGGTGGGGTCGCGGCCGATAAACCCCACCTATGCACGGCGGGAGCCGATGCCTTATGACAGTTGTGCAGTTCTTTTCATCCAGTGCTTGTGGTAGCGCATTGTCTTTCTAGGTGTCAATATGCTCTCAATAGTCCTTGCACGCGCTGCGGAAGCAGTTGCCTCACGTCATCTTCTTTGAGGCGATCCGCAATCTTTGCAAGGCTCAAATTCGATTTAGCCAAAGTGCACTCTTCCTGAAACGGAAGCATCACTAATTATGCCGCGTGGAAACGTGTGCCTACGTAAAAGGCCCATTTCCAGTTTGACGATCTGCGGATGCATGTGAAAAGAGCTGCGTCCGACTGCAATTCGTCCGTTTGGCATTTTTACTTCATAACTAACCGAGTTAATCGTCGTTCCCTCGCGCCTCAGGTCGGCAAAGAATCTATGAAAGCCACAGGCACGTACGGTGTTGACCATGAAAGGAAACACCGGGGAACCGGAGGTCAGATCGGTATGCACGTTGTCCCGTGTACATAGTCGTGTATAGTGTTCTTCACTACCTTTGCTGCCAAGTGCGTTCAGCGGGGGGTGTATTTGCACGATTGTACACCTGTACATACCATATTGACCTCTATGTTTGGCTCAAGAAAAGGGCGCTCTACATGTTGGTACTTGTAGGCTGTTGGCCTGTAAATTCACTTTAGGTGCTGTATATGGACAGTTTTCAGAGCCCCAGGCCCCAGGGAAATAAATTTGAATTTAACTTGCTTGTATGTGTTCAAACGTTTTGGGAATTGTAGCTGGGAAGGGTTGAGCATTGGAGGCGCGAAACAAGAGACGGACATTGACGTGAATGCGTTTGCAAAGTTCTTGGTGCTACTTAGGAGGAGACACATGAGTCTACACGCCCTCGTGTCACTGGTGACCATGTTTGGCGGAACACTTGTGGAAAGGAACTGCCCATGTTGCATAGGCAGCCAGCAAGCAATCCCACAGATAGACCATTACAGAAAGCTTCGGGGTGCCGATGCAGCAGGCATACAACGTTCATGCATATAGAGCGATATCAAGCAGTGTTGCTCATTCCTGCTTTGTTTCCACGAGTTGTCGTGGTTTATGACATTATACGATACCACTTGGAGGAAAATACTGTATTTTGGTGTAATACTGATACTCTAATACATTGCATAACGTATTCCTGCCTTGCAGCTAAAAACAAGACCACTAGCTACTCATGTTCAAAGGTGTCTAAATGTTATACCGTGCCTACCATCCACGCGTTGTTTCCCGCTCCCGAGGCTATCTCCACAAGAACAACTTCGTTCATCGGGCATCCCGTCCAAAACTGGGCTTGGGAGCTGCGCTTTTGTTCTTGGCTGCAAGTGGAAGGCAGGCCACTACTAGGGCCGACCTTAGGGTTCTTAGGGAATTACTTCGTCGGGTGAAGAGGTTTTACCTGCGAATTGGGGTATGGCGGACAGTGTGTTTGTGCATCAGGAGCCGTTACCGGCATCCTTTGTGGACTTGCATCAGAACATTTAGAAGCAACTTTGAGGACATGAGTTTGGATCATCAGGCTACAGGTCATTGCCATTATGATCGGCAGCCGCATGTTTTGTATTTCATGCATGTTGATTTTCCAAAACCTTTTTGGTCTAGATTTTCTGCAACAATTGTGCATCATGTGCTTGGTGGAGAAACATCTATATATAGGAGCAATACTTGGGTGTGCCTTTTGATAGGGAGACCCCTTGGCCGAATGGGAAGACTCGTGTGTTTTCCTTCTTCCAGCGGAGGTCTCCCTACGTTCACAACACACCCACTTAGATCAGCACCACTTAGATCAGCACCTTTGCTTCGAGCATGTTCTGATCGAGGCGACATTAGGACTCACTGAGCCCCTTAGTCGACGACTGGTGTCTCCAGGGTCGGGTGAGAGACTGAGGATATCAAACCGGAGAACTTCCTCATGCAGAACCAGGACTGGGAGAGAGAGAGAGAGAGAGAAATGGAGAGATTTGTAAATATTACCAAGAACTGGACATGTGACATGTATGGATCCAATGGATCCAAAGGCCCTCCAGTCTCAAGGCATTTCCCCAACGGCTTGGAGAGTTGCTCCTGGTCCTTGCACCCAATGTCCGCCGGTGCTTGCACACCCATTTTGGAGTTAAATTATCTAAAACCATCTTAAACCCTTGGAGGCTGTTTCTGATGGATTCCAAGGTAGATTGCACAGATTTGAAGCGTAGGTAGATTCCAAGGTAGACCTTCTTTGAACCTTTACTTGGGCCTGTGCCTTTTGCCCATATTTGGTACTGTAATTAGAGAAGATATGACAAGCATAGATCAAACGATATTGGCCCGGTCGGTATGATGTTCAGATCCCTTGAGCACGGTATGTCCAGGAGGCCAATGCTGATATTAAAGTCATTGACTTCGGATTGGCCAAGCATTACAAGCCCGGTTCCTTGGACGCTTCGGCTTGGCCGACCCTCTCCAACGGCGGAGATGTCGATCCTTTTCACAGGTGATGAACTGGTGACAAATGTTTGGTCGAGTGTTGTTCGATGTGTTTTTGTTACATCGAAGTTATTGATCCAGATTTGCCCCGATGTTTGGTGAAGATGCTGTACATCAGCACATCAAACTCTGTTTTTTTTTCTTGACCCAGGTTCAGGAGCAACCATGAAGACGCGAGCGGGCACGCCTTACTACGTGTCCCCGCAGGTCCTGGCTGGTGCATATGATGAGAAGTGTGCAGCTTGGCGGATGTTTGGGGCAGATGTTTGGGGATGCAACTCCTGGACACCAACTACCAGTACTGACTCCGGTTGATTGGAGTTTGGGGATTCCACTTCACTTAAGATATTCCACCCCGAAGCATTTGTTCCGGACTGGCAATTGAATTGGAATATATAGACAGTGTTTGTCCCATTCTCACTCAAAGGCCAGTATATATACATATATACCACTTTGCCGCATTCTTTGGTAAAGGCCTTTAATAGGCCTTTACACAGCATCATCATTTACTATCATTTGCCGGGGTGATGTGACGTGTTTAGACAGACAGGTTCCACACTCATGTAAATGCGATGCTGTTTTGTTGAAGATTTCCCGTCTAAGCTGTTTGAGGACCTGTGGGTTCAGAGAAGAGGCGTGTGTTCCTTTTTAATTTTTTCCTAGTCCTCCCCAATGGATGTTCATGCTTGGTACTCTTTCACTTTTCATCCTCAACATCCATTCCACGTTCCGTTTGCAGATTCCACCTTCCTTCGGGTGACTGAGGATGTGTGGAGTTGTGGTGTGATTTGCTACATCCTCTTGTGCGGCTACCCTCCCTTCTACGGCGAGAAGGACAAAGAGATCCTCGCCATGGTCAAGAAGGGCGAGGTGAAATTCGATCCTGCGGCCCCTCGGAGAAGATGAGGGTGGCGATGGTGCCAACCTGGTGGGATCACTTGGGGCGATCCGGGCGGCACCCGGGTGAACCCCCTCACGAGGCGGCTCGGAATCTCGCTTCGCCCGGGGAAAATGCCTCGAAAGTGAGCTTTCTCCATATTGGGAGCCACAGTTCAATCAAGCTCTCTTTCGGTGGTTCCCTTTTTAGGGACTAAATATCATCAAATATTCATAGGGACCCCACACCACCATGGACTGTGATGGCCTCTCGACACGCACAGCCCTCGGATTTCAGAGTGCTGCCAAGAACATGTGAAACGCTCTTGGGACACATCCGCTTGTTGCTTGCCTCTTTGTTGAGTCTTGTGTATTTCATTATATGTCAATATCCAACTTTCCCACTCAAGCATCATGAAGGCGAGCGATTTGTGTGTATGTGTGGGCGTGCACGCATGTGTGCGTGTGTGTGTGTGTGTCTGGAAAATAAGGTCCCAACTACTTGTAGGTCCTAGGTGGTCAAAATCCGTTTGGATTTGTGAACATGTCGGGCCCCCAAGCATTCGTTTCATGGACCCACAGCCACAGGATTGGTCTGAAGTCTCCAGTGATGCAATTGACTTCATCAAGCCGCTTGGTTAAATGAGTTCCGGTCAAATCCATGACCGGAAGGAAAGGAAAAGGAACGAGAAGAAGAAACCAGTTCATTTGAGCTCAGGTCGTGCGAATGCGTACAGTACATTCTTTCAACTTTTTGCCAGTTCGTGATTCGTGATCCAACGGATCTTCACTGCTCAGCCTGCAGTCACGGCTCCTTTGCCAGGCTCATGCTGACCTTCAATCCTGACAAGCGGCCCAGCGCACAAGAGTTGCTCACCCACAAGTGGCTCACGACCTCTGCGTCAGCACCTGTTGGGCGCGTGGGAAAGGACTTAGGCCACAAGCTCAAGCACTTTCAAAGCAATTCTCGGATGAAGAAGGTGGGACGGGTTCGGAGAGGGGATCAATCAAACATATTCGGACAGATGGATGCAAATGGAGTGAAGGGGAGGATCTATATAGGAGCATTTTGGAGTAGACAAGCACGCAGCATGCAGTACCAGAGAGAGAGAGAGAGAGAATATATGTACAAGTATGATATATATATATTTTATATATATATATATATATTTGTGTATTCAATATTATTCATAATTATATGCTGCCGAGGGTGCTCACAAGCCTGCTTGCCGTTTGCTGTGCTAACTGGTTGAGCCATACACGCTTACAATACCTGTCAGCCACTAGCTTTGCACCTAAAACGCATGGGTTTTCCGTGCGTGATGCGCGGTGCAGTGGAGGTGGCCTTGACACTGATTGCACAGCAGCTGAAGGATGATGAACTCAAGGAGTTGAGAGACACCTTCATTAAGTTGGACAAGGATCGAGATGGAACCCTTAGCACCTCGGCTGGATTGATCGATCATGTTACATGCTCGATTGAGGTCCCAAGACCGGGTGGGTGAAGGTATATAAGATTATACAAGTAGGTGCAGGCTAGCCATCCCAAGTCCATCCCAGTGCAAAACACGACGTACAGGCCTTACCTCCGCGGCATGGGCGTTCCCAAACAGGGCCACTCCACGGGGCTCCGTGGAAGAAGGGGTGGTACTGCAAATGTCCTGAATATAGTGCCGCTGAGCACGGCAATTGCAGCTGGGATCCGAATGACTGTTTGGTATTTCGATCCCGCTCACTCAAAATATGGTACAATATATAGGAGACAAGCTGGTCAGATGCGCTTCCCATGTGTTCTTGTTTGGAGTTTGACGCTGCAATGGAATACGTGGATTTGGGTCATCCTCTTTCTGGGTGAAGCAGTCAGTTTGAATGCTACGCACTATGTTGATCTGATTGGGTGCTTGGGAGTTGGCCCCCGTAGGAAAACTCTCCTAACCACTTGACCATTGGTTCTTGGTAGGCTTGACTTGACGTGCTTTGTGAATCACTGCTACCATTTTGGAGTTGTTATTGTTGTAATGGTACTGCTTGTCAGGTCAAGTACTTCTGGTCAACAACCAGAGGGGTAAGGAATCTCTTCTATTTGGCTTGAGACGTCACGGGGCAAAACCAGGTACATAATAAGATTGTATGTAATTATAGATTATTAATTATTACTATATATGTATATTATTATTACTATAATATTAATTACTACTATATATGTATACTACTATTACTATAATAGTTGTTGACGGTTGTGAATGGTGTCCCTCAACTTTGGTGGTGAGCAACCCTTCAGGCTTGGAGGAAATCCAGAATGGCATGAAGATGGCAAAGGCAGATCTTCCTGAAGACATCGTGGAAATCGTTCCCTTTGCTGAACAATGCAGGTCGTGTTGTTGGCGCTTGTTCCCCCCCTAAAATGCCTCTAAGTGATGGTTTTACATGCGAATTCACCACAAGTACTGTTCGGCATTGAGCCTCTTGACGGAGGAGGTATGTGTGTACACACTTGTTCGTGCGCACGGCATATTCTTTTTCTCAGAGCTGGGGTGACGAATGTCCAAGAGATTGGTGAAGAAGTCGAGTGAATGAACGTGAGAAGAGGGTTGGGGTCAGCGCCGCTTGTGGGCCCACAGAGGGGAAAGCAGCCAGCAGACCATGGCAGTTTCATTGCATAGTGTCACTGTGCTTTAGAATGCTTTAGATGTGGAGCTGCAGCTTGACTGTAGTACTATTTGTACGGTACTATCACATGGCCCTCCACTTGCAGTATCATACAGTAGTATAGAGTTCCATATAGTTATATAAGTTATATACGGTTATATACCTATTGTCTTCTCTCGTTTGATCTTTGCACTCTGCAAAAAGGTCCGCCCCGCCCCTCACTACTCAGGTGCGGAACCTGGACACCGACGGCAGCGGGAACATCGACTACACGGAGTTCATGGCGGCCACCCTGACCAAGAAGCAGTACCTGCGCAGAGAGGCCGAACGAGCCGACGACGGAACGTGTCAACGGCCACGGGTGGCGTTGGGGTCAGTACCTGCGTTGGCTTTTATCGGTCACCTGGACCAAGAGGCTGAAGAGACACGACTCGTCCCCAATCCGAAACCGTGCCAAAGTGCTAACAGACTGCGAGGAAGGGGCTGAAGCTGAAGGGGTGAGAATGGATGGGACCGCTGGGTAGGTACCTTCGACCCACCTGAATAGGCGGATGACCCCGATGAAAGATGCTGGTGCTGCTGCTCGGGTTGGATGGGTTGCAAGGTTTTTGGCGGCCAGGTGATGTGGGCCGCTTTCCGAGTCTTCGATACCAATGGGGATGGTGTTGCTTGGAGCGGTTAGCTGCTGAGGGGTTGGCGCTAGACCCCCAGGCAGGGCGATAGAAATAGATGGCAACATGAGATCCTCATGAGGAAAATGCAAATTTGGAGAGAAAAGCACTGAGACCAGAGCGTTTGTGTTAAGGATTTGACCACGACGATCATGATTCATGCTTGTAATGGCTTTGGAGGCATAGGTTCCTGAAACACACTATGCACGCATGCACCTGAGGTCATCACCAAGGACGAGCTGGCCAAGATTCTGAAGGCACGGCCTCCCATCCAAACCGTCAGAGCAAAAAAAACAGATGCCACCACCACCACTGAGGGTGTTCCAGGTGTGCGACCCGCTCCCTTCGCGGGATGGAGGCGGGGGAGGGGGGGGTTCTTACGTTTAAAACCTCAAAAAATGGTGATGAAGTGGGGGGGCATGGAGGATATGGAAGGCCCCTTCCAATTCCAAACGACCCATGGATGTGCACGGGAAGTTGCATGCTGCATGGCGCTTTTCTGAAACGGCCAGGAAGAGGACAACATGGCGCACATCGAAAAGATGGTCGCAGATGTGGACTTGGATTCTAATGGAGAGATCAGCCACCTGGATCGGAGTTGTGAATCCGATGGTTTCTGGATGTGTTTGGATGATTTGGGCGGGAAGCTCCTGAAAACCGATTGAAGATGGAATATCCACATGGAGCAGGCGATACTGCAGCAGTATTTCTTGCTTTTGTTGAAGAGTGCATTCTTGCCAAGGGGCAACAAAACAAAGCTTCGTCAAGACCCGACCCACGAGACAGCGGAAACCTCTCTAAGACTCTAAGAGTCCTAGATGATCATGTTGTTTGTTTGATCTCTTTAAATATCTTTGAACGGCTGCAGCGGTTGGTCCGCTCAGGTTTTGATGAGTTTTGCATCATGATGGAGAAAGACTCCGTTGGGATCCTCGGTGCTGCCGCGGACGGTGCAGAGGCCGAGGCAAACGCCTTGCCAGAGGTTTGACACGACCGCTGGAGTCGCTTGGCAGCCAAGAACGCACAAACGATCCCGGTGGAAGACCGGTTTCTTCTACAACCCGGTGGTTTTGGGGTTCCATGTCATAGAAAAATGCTGTAACTACCGTGCTTGAGTACTTCACCCACAGAAGACATGCCGATGCAAACACATAAGCGCTTCACCTCACCTGAATCGGAAGCATAAGTAAACAGAGCCCGCACATACCACGACAGAAGGACAGACAATGTTGGTGCTCAAGGATTCTTGCAGTTGTTGTTTTTGCTACGTTTATTGAATTGGTGATCACCCAATCGCTGTTGAACACAATCCAGAAGCTGGTCCTTTGAATATATCATGTCCACGCCGTCCACACCACCCCATCCTTTTTCTACCATGATACATGAATGATGGCCCTCATGTTTTTTGCACACGTCTTCGTCGGAATATTACAGTGGGATCCAATTTCTTTACTTGTTCAATCCATTCCTCCGGCGCCTTGTTCTAGCGACCACGTCCCAGGTTGAATCTTCTGAATTTCAGGACTCAACGAGTCCCGAGACACACCGGGCGTAGACGCACCGGTGGCACGCGGTCGACGAACGTGTGTGGCGTGCGGAAAAAAACTTCGAAAAGGCGGACCGTGTTGCTGCGGAGGCTGGGGTCCACTGTGCCGCAGGTGAATACTTGCAGAGACCGGGAAGGGGAAGAATTGAGAAGAACAAAATGGTGTGTAAATCTTCAATTCTCATCAATGAGTGTCATGAACATGGGGGGAGGACCGAGGCACAAAAGGATTGGTGAGATGGAATTGCGCAGGGCAACTTTGGAGTGGACAGAATGTGGATGTGTTTTGTTCTCCAAACTATGGAACCATAACACTTGATTGAGATGCTGGCTGTTCCTTCTATTTGTAAATCATATTTCAAAGTCACCTGCATGCAGAATCCCTGTCCCAACTTGCGCTTGAAGATGTGTTTGTTGTTTTGCTTTGGACGCATGGTAGGTTAAGGTTCGTGCAGATGAGAGCATGACATAGGCAAGATGTTTGGTGAAAGAGCCCTGGCGGGTTTTCCAATCAAACATCAAGCGATAGTGGCAGCAATGACTTTGAGGTCAACCACCATGTCAACCCTGTGAGTAGAAGATCCCCTTCATTTTAGTGACGTGGGCAACCAGAGCTTTGCAGATTTGGAATGTTCCTTTATTGAGGTGGCACGGTGTGATTTGAAGTTGAGCAGGCAAATAGATGTTTGTCAGCTACCAAGCTTCTATTTGTTAGTCATATAGTTAATGGAATGGACTCGTTGTTCATTTTCTGCTCGGATCATATACTGGCAAATGTGTGTTGTGTCCATCAACCACTTTGGCATGCTGCAGCACGTGCTGCACTGCAGCCCACCCGTTTTCATCAATTAAATATATATATATATTACAATATATATATATATATGCAACAAGTCTTTGCAGCACTTATGTAGGACCTAGCTGCTGATGGACAAAGGACAAAACTCACCAGCAGATGACACAAGATGAACAAGAAGTCAAGAAGACTGCAGTTTCCTCCACAAAACGCCTGTTGTTCACAGGATGTGACGGCGGATCTTTTCCCCCCGGACGCCCAGGTTTTTCCGCTTCAGGACCAGCCGCCCCATGGCAGAATGTGAGAAAGTGAGAGAGGTTGTTGGGTAGAAAGGAGGTGCTTTTGCAAAGGCAAGTCAGGGCACGCCAAGAGTTGCCTCTTTGTGAAAAGCAGGTAGTCTATGGTATAGGCTCATTCTTGTATCCATTCGTTTATAATATTGAAATGTGCTCCAACATTGCTGGGGAAGTTTGCCGCCCAAAAAACAAATGGCTGCCTGTTAGGCTGGTAGCAGAAATGCGGATCGGGTTGGGGGTCTCGTCCTTCCACTTCGCCCCACTGAAGACGGTTCTGTTCCTGTACACTACTTCGATCCTTTGCCTGTCGAAAGTCGTCTTGCCACAGCTGATGTTCAACTTACATGTCATGTGTTTATCAGAGAACACGACGGAAGTGTACCTTGTTTGCTGCTGTTCTGTGGATGGTGTTATGGGCCATGCACGTTTTGAAGAGGAACCGTCTCTGTGGAAGGTTCTGATGGTTTTGATGTTTTCATCATTCTACCCGTTTGGCTGGTAGGCCAGGTGGTCCGAACAATGCAAGGGTCCAACACCTGCGAGCCAAAATATGCCAAAATTGAGGTGGTTCGCTTGGTGTTTGTGTGTGAGCTTGTTATAAGTGATTAAGTATCGGGAGGCCCCAGGCGTGTGGGTCACAAGGCTTCATCCAAACTCATGCATGAACGGTGAGCAACCCAGGTAGACTCGACACGTCCGTTTCCAATAGTGATGCAATAGTGATGTGGTCCAGAGCTGGTGTCAAGAGCTTGTGGCACCGTGTTTGGACGTACATTTGAACTTACCCTGAATGTTGTGTCGATATGGTGTTCGAAAGCATGGGGCCGTTGGCATCCTAGGCGTGGCTATGTCCGTTTGGCAGCCCAAAGGGGGGGGTTGGGGTTGGATGTGATCGGAATGCAGCTCGGGTGGAGAACCAATTTGTATCGGAAAACCTGTTGGGCTTTGCATCGATTCATCAGTACTCGGAGCGAGCAAGCTTAGGTTGGCACACTGCAGCGGTGTGTTTGTGTGCGCGTTGTTCTTTTATATAACTGACGTAGATTCATCAGCAGTCGAAGCATCATTCTGGAAGGAGGTTGCACACGGCACACCATGGAATGCCTTTTGCTTGGCTTCCGTACCCCACCATACCCCACAACGGTGATCTTCACGACTGGACAGTGCCACGCGCACGCCTACGCCTACGAGGCTTCCGCTTCCACTCGGGCGCTGCCAGCTGCGTCGAAGCCGCTGCCGCCCAGTGGTCCGAGTCGGAGCGGGCCTTCAAGGCGGACAAGGCGGCACTAGGCGCGGCGACGACTCGGTGGGGGGGCTTGAAGCGGGCCAGGCTGGTGCGTGGAGGTGGGACGGAGTGAAAAGCGGAGGTGGGTGGCTTCGGTGCAAGTTTTTGGAGCTTTCTTAAGAGGTGCATCATGCAGTGCTAGGCCTGCTAGGCCTGCTAGGCTCCATCTTCTTTAGACGTTTTCCGCAAAGCACATTGATAAAGCCTTTTCTGGGTGAGTTTGGAGTGCAAGTCTTCCGATCCATGTTCAACGGGTGTGAGCTGGCCGATCGCATTCTCCTGGCCTTTTGCCAGGTGACCTAATTAGCAGTGGGCTGTTGCGATTTGGGCAGGCCTCCTACCAGTACCCACGCACCCTGAGTCCACCAGCGGGGCTTCCCACGACTGTCCAGGCTATCAGGTGCAATCGGTCTACCCGGCCTCCTTGGTCCTGGACTTGGCAGGTGGCCCAGACGGCGAGATGATCGTCACACTGGCAGAGCCTCGGCCGGATGCAGGTGGCTCCGACATAGACTCAAGAGGTCCAAAGAATCCAGCACCAAAACAAGAAAAAACACGTTTCCAATTCGGTGTCTTCAGTACCCAGACACTCCATGTATGGCAAATTTACCTAATTACATTGGGGTGGTTTGAGGGGTCAATGTAGGCATTTCTATGGCAGACATGGAGTGTTTTCAGTATTCTCCAGTTCAAGATGAAGAAGTCCTGAAACCATGTGACTGCCTACACCACGTGTCGCCCCCAATATCACAAAGGGTGGTTGAAGTCAAAGACCACCAATACATGGGTTTGCCTGCGCATGGTATTTTAAGCGGTTCCGCAATTCCATCATCTAGCAGAGAATAATGTATATAACTTTATCGTCATTGCATCGATTTGAAGCAGACAGCGTCAGAGCCCTGAAGTTGCAGATGACTCATCCACAAGGACTTTGGTGAGCAGTGAGGATTATCTATTACTTGTTTCTCTCCTGGTTATATAAGTTATGCTATTCTAGCACTGCCGGCTACCAAGGAGCGCACAGGCGTGCGCTACTTGAAGCTAAACGCTGGTGGGTTGACAGGCTACATCAAGAAGATGATGCCCACATGTGAACACAGGCGCAGATGATTGCTGTTTGTTGTTCTTCGTGCGTGAGGCATGGAGAATCATAGTCATTCCTTTGACCCGCCATGAGCCAGATCAGGGATGTTAATCATCGAAGATTCCCTGGCATCATTGAATTAAGCTTGGATCCCCCTTCCTGCAGTGCCACCACTTCTGTTCAAACTGTGGCCCCTCCAGCCCCATGTCATTCTGCAGATCTCACGACAGCAAAAATCTACAATCTCGATACCACGGAGAAAAAACAACTAGCATATAACTGTCAAATCGATCAAATGTTGGTGACCTATAGTACAGTATAGCACACATGTTTAAACAAACAATTGAATCAATATGCCGATCGCGAGATATACCAAACATCGCTGTCACCTCCATCCACCAGACGGTGGGGCCGTGTTTCCTCTTGGGTCACAAGGTGCACGTCAGAGATCGCGAGCCCTTTCCCCTATCAAGTCACGCCGTGCATTGGACTGCTGTGAGTCTCGTTGAAGGGTATGTGATGGTATGTGTTCAATCTATGGGTTCGATTGATATTGTAATGTATGATGCACGTGTCCCACCAATCACCTTGGTGGGTTTCTGTTTCACAGGAGGTGACCATGCTTGAGGTCATTTCAGGTGCAAATATATAGTTGCCAACCAATGGTTGTACTTAACCCGCCACGGTACGATCCGCTGCTGTGAGGGTCTTCTTCAGTGGGAAGGCTACCCCGCTGCAGCTAGACATGTGACTCAACAGCAGTGTTGGATTCCTCCTTCTTGGGACATATGGATGGGGCCAACATGTTACAAATTCAAACTTAGGTGGGTGTTGCTTTTTCAGAATGAACGTAAATACTGTAGTATACAAATACATGTACAGGGAGGATGAATTCAATCTTGCAGGGGGAAGTTTGTTGCAAATGGCTTCATTGACAGGATGAGGTCCCCCTACAAGGACCACACGATCATAGCAGAAGAGAATAGAAGAGATACCGTATGTAGCGTTTCTTAGGTTTACAAGGATGAATAGACTAGGACGAAAGAGAGACTGGGAGATTGGAAAGGATGAATTAATAGACTAGGTCTTGGTGCATGTCAAAAAAGACATTGGCTATTTTATTTAGTGTTATTTATGAAATGCTAAAGGAGTCTATATATATAAACATCATGCACAAAATAAGATCCTAAAGAAGAGATGCCTTGCATGATGAAGACTGGATATGGCAGTTGTCAAAAAGAGAGCTACACGTTTGTAATGCTTCAAGTGGCATTCGCGCCCAAGGTGTTTGAAAGACCCGTTCACCCAAGGTGCTTCAACCCAACATATGCAATGGAACCCAGGTTCGGTACACATTGTCGACATAGGAGATTTGAGGAAAGGCAACACTGAGAATAGTGGACACTTCACTAGGAAGAGGGAGGTTTTGCACACCAAGACTTTGCGAGAAAGCTTTCCCTAAGAAAGGGGCCTTTCAAAGGAAGCACCATTTATGAATGGCACAAGCCTTTTGTTGCTAAGGATCATGGGAGTGATAATGGGATAAGTTTGGATAAACATCCTTTGCACCCAAGGGCTCAAATAGACCAACACGCCAACCAAGCAGCAAACAGGATGTATGATTCGTTATGTCCGTGTTACGTCGAAGGTCGGTATCTGGTGTTGAA